AATTAAATGCCCTAATTAGATATATGTGTATGTGTAAGACTTCATTGGAAGTCTGTTTATTTCTTCTGCTTCTTTTTTTCAATCCTTATCCTTGACCTACGATATCGTTTAATGCATTAAGAACAAATAATTGCATTATCTGCATTTTTTCGTCTTATTATCTGCCTTTTTCAAGTCAAATCACAAGCAAACCTGTGTGAAGTAAGATGTCGTGGAAATTACACATTTATTTCGTTAATTGACTCTTGCATTCAGGATTATAGCTATCTGGTGTCACATGCTAGAGTTTATTTGGTGCAAAGTTATCGCCAAATGGCATGATGATGAATGAAAATTTACAAAATCTGATTAAAACATGTAAAATATCGTATCAAAATCAAACTTCGTGCCAGTATATATCTATAATTGTATTTTTTGATTTGCACATAATATTTTTTCATTTCTTAAAATACTAATTGCAAGCCATGATTTATTTGCATCATATATATATATGTTGTATATATATATATATATATATATCTAAAACGTGACTTCGAATTATGTTTTACAAACATAAAACGTGATTCTCACATTTCGTAGTGGACGGATGAGGGGAAAATTTGCTGGAATAGTTCCATATGTATTACATTTAAAATCTGCATATAACACAACTGGCATTAAAAGATAAGATATCCTATTATTGTATTATATAATCTGCCAACAGAGGAATGAGCATCAGTATGCATTTTTCGTATTTAGGTTTTGTTTACACACTCAAATTCCAAGTGAAATATTTGTTAAAAGTTGACAGGTAGTTTAAGATGTCTACCTGTGGCGTTAATTTGTCGTATTATGATTGAAAGGAATGTAAGATACAGGTGATATATCAATATACAAAGTACATTAACTTAGGGTGGTCTTTCATTTTCATTTAAATATTCACACAAAATTAATTTTAACTGAGGAATTTTTATTGTCCTTGGGGACGTTTAGCAACAAAAACCTCTTTATAATTGAGATATCTTTTATTAAGAGACACGTCTTTCAGAAAAATGTGGTCACTGCATTATTTTTATTTTTCTCCTCTCTTGTTCGATTGTACATGTTTTCCCGCGAAGGCAACATAAGCGCCGACAGTCTGAAGCCAATGCATTTCAACATGGAGAATGTACCATATAATTAGGTTCAGCATGCGCTCTTTAAAAATACAATTGTTGCATTCTACCTCCATAAATAACAGTTCCTCCAGCCCAAGAAATGCTCAGTTATATGGTACTGTTGGAATATTGAATATTTTTGGAAGAAAAAGAGTATATTATCACTTATGTTTCGAAAAAGGTTACGTTTTGACATCGAAATGTCTTTTTTGTTTTGTCATGTTGTCGCGTTGCTGCCTCGTTGACTTTTCAACACACATTTCATTTCTTCATATACTTCCAGTTAGCACTCAAACCATATTCCCGATGCTTTGCTTAGCTGTAACTGCTATTTAAAAAGCCATTTCTCTCTTTTAAAAACTAAAACCTAATAAATGGCCTACTTCTTTTGTTAAAAAAGCAGACCATTTCCATACAAGTGCTCGTCTTGATTTGGGGTAATTTAGAAGATTGAATTACAGTTTGGTTGTTTCTTTAACATCTTTAATAACAGATCTTAGTGAATGGGCGGGACAAAATGAGTATTAAAGTAATAAACAGTCATTTCAAACTGCAATTTCATCAAAGATTGATTTAAGTTAATTGGACATTTAAATGCCAAATCAAAATGTGCTGATTGAACGGAAATTGTCCTGAAGAAGAAAATAGAAGCCATGCATACAAATAGTAATTCCTGTATAATAAAACGCCTTTTTTCTCTCGAATAATTGAAAATACTTTACTCAATCTCAGCACAGTAGAGTGATATGAAAAATTATCGCTAGAAACTAAGGGCGCATGCACGTGCCGTTGTCAATGAAATTAACAACGTCGTCATAGGTAAAATAGCGATAAACAGATTATCATTGGTCATCTCAACTCGATTGCTTTTCTCACTTTCGCCGTACCGGCTCAAGCGAGAAAATCAATCTCGTTGAGATGACCAACGATAATCTATAATTATATATCTTTCTCCAAATTTTGTAAACATTTTCATTTTGCACTTTACAAATAAAATTATATAATAAATACGTAATGTTTTCCCATATTAATGTCAGGATTATCAAGGTCAACAATGTACGGCCTTCGAGTTTAATTATAAATTAAATTGTAAAAGTTACATTTTTTAACAATCTAATAACACATATCTTTTCGCAAAATTCGCAAAATTCCTCAAAATCAACTTAAGTTAATTTAAATTAAATCAACAGGTGCGAGTACGTGTCCTAATTTAGTGGCATGACGGGTTTTTTTTTCGCAGAAAATTCCAGGACAAACATGCGATCAATAGATAAAAAATCGCTGATGGTCATTACTTGTCAATATAAACATGTTCAGGTAATAATCATCTAATTTGCTGACAGATTATGACGTATTTATCTTTGATCTAAACAGGTGTAAATCTTTTGATTTTAGTGATTATCAACATTTCACCTAATAGGATTTTAAGATTAGGAATATTATTGCAATTCAGTATTTTATAAAGCTTTTGTCACGTCATACTAAGTTATTAAAATATTATTATATAATATATAATACTGTATTACTTTGATCATTCGTGATTTTACTTCCCGTTTTAAATCAATTATTTCGATTGATTTTTTGATGCCGAGCTTTTAATTCAATGACTCTTAACCATAATTTGAAACATATGCTACTCAGTAAATATATACGATAAAATCCCTGTACTTCATTGACTCGCTCTGTGAAAATCCGAAAGTTAATAAAACCTGATAGGATTTGAAAATAAAATTGTCTAAATGATAAACCTCAAGTATTTTACAATTATTTCAAACGTTTCTATATATTTATTAAAGTGTTATTCTACGCTGAATATAATTATTCAAAATTTGACATGTTTTCGAAAAATTTTCATCGGAGGATATATTTGGCCAACATGTATTTATTTGTACAAAATGTATAAGATTGCCAAAACAAAGTTGTACATCCACGAGAATTTGTTTCCACTAGGGCTGTTATTTTGCGAGAATTACTCCAAATTTGTCACAATCCACCCACATTGATGTTTTTTGCCATCTTTAGACATTTAAGAATTTGTGACATCTTCAGAAATATAACATAATGTTGAAATAATCTAAAGTTCGTACATAATACTGTGAATCATTGTTTGGAAGACCGTTTGAAAATTGCCATGTTGTGCAATTATAGATAATTGATCGTTCTTCTTTAATTTGTTTTCAAACTTGAGAGAAACACTCTTTGTTGAAACAGATTGTTTAATAGTTTCGAGTTTTATATACAAAAAAAATTTGGACATGTAGTAAAGTTTGATTATTTGCTGTTCCCAATTCAATTCCGGATCTCCCTAGAACGCTTACAAAATAATGGATGACCTATGCAGGTGACCATGCACGACATGTGCCAGATTCACTTAGGTTTCAGTAATGCTCAGTGGAAATGTTGATATGAGCATTTCTGAATAGACTAATTTATAAATTCCACAAAATCAACTGAAGTTAATTTAAATTGAATCGACAGGTGCGAGTACGTGTCCTATGTTAGTGGCCAGTATAGTATTCATAAATAACAAAGAAGTAATCATTTGGATACACGCCATTAAAAAGATTTTTTATTATTATATTAAGGTGGCTTTGGCATAGCCTTATCGAGAAAAAAAAACAACGTTTAGATATGCAATGGGTGTTTTGTTTTGTCTGCAACCAATATGTACTAGCAAAAAGGTGGATTGGTTCAATTACTTAATTTTATAGCTGAAAGTGCGTCCATGTAACATTGATGCTGCAACTTGTTTCTGAGATAAAATAATATTGGTATCTGTCTTGGCGGCCGATCAGTAAAGGTTAATTCGAAAACCGATCATGAATTTAAAAATGAAAATAATTCACTTTTTGCTGTCATCTATATATATATAATTATCTGTAAATATTGGGATATCTCTTTAAAAACAAGCTACCATATTACGCCTTTATCTAATTTAACATTTGTAAGAATTCTGGTATATCCTTGGAGCCCAACTGATCTCAGATTTGTCTAAATGTTTGTGTATCTAATAGTGGACTTACATTCCACGACACCAAGGTCATCCAGGACTTACCATTTATTACTCTCACTTTGGCAGACATAATCTGGACACCTCAAGCGTTATAAACTGATAAACAACTTAACAATTTTATAACAACTTGGAGTCCGATCAGTTATCAAATGCAAACACGTTGAAATGTAATCGTAACGTAGATATGATTGTTCCCGTGTGTCATTAGAATTTTGTCCCTGGGGTTACACTCAAATGTAAATAGTTGAATGAGCGACATTTTGACAATTTTGATAATAACGACGACTTAGTGCTAATCTATTTCATGTCCACGATGTTTTATGTCCGTATAACGTTTCGCCCACTCACATGTCCAATTGCTATTGGATAGTGGCAACAAGAGCGGAAATGTTCTTTTTTATTGTTCGTATGCCCTTTATAGACAAAGGCGGGTAAATTCTTAATCAAGGCATATATTCAGTTCATCCATGTACTCATCGTTTCAGCTAATTGTTAATTCGTAATTGTATACATGTGGGTTGAAATAATTCTTAATTGCTTTAATATTCACTGCATCTGAAGCACGAGGACAACATTTCTATTGTACCATTGCACAGTGTAGATAAATCTACTTGTGTTGACTTAAACACATAAAATGCATTTTCTCATTTCATCAAGGTTCTCCAAAGTTTGTAATTGGAGAGCTGCCATATATTTTGTATTGAATTCAAAATTAAGTATTCATCTGTCAAATAAAAGATGATCTGAATTAAGATCTTATGCAATCCGGCATCTCTGTTGACATAATATGCAAAACATTGTATTTACCTTGTCTCTTATGTCATTCATTCATTAACAAAATAACTTCTAAAGAACGATAATGAGTATTTTATTCAATTTTGCTTTAAAAAAAAAGCTTTTATTACAAGTGGTTTCGATCCATCATACATAATTTCGAGTTTAAAAATATTTGTGCTACAATTTTAATTTACATTCACAAATTTAAAACATCTGCCCATAAATTTATTTTACTTAAGTGGCCAAATGCTAGTGTATTTATTTTCATTTACACCGTTTCGATGGGAATGAATTGGCATCAACTTGTTTAAACTGAAATTAAATTTCTTGTGTACACTCTCTCGACATTGACTAGAAGTTCAAGGAGTTTGGTGTATTTGACTAGTGGTAATATTCATCTTCTATCTTCAATGGTATCTGTTTCTGAAAATGAAATATAAACAAGCTTATCATATGTATTGCATGATAAACATTTTATTCGTTCATGACAAAATCGCATGTAAAGAAAATTAATTTACTCGCCATACATCTTGCTAAATATCATATTTAATTGAGAATCGTGATATTAATCGTTTTCAGTATACGTGTATTTTGTCAAAATAAGTTTCTTATGGTATATGCATTCGTGTAGACTGTGGTTTAGGAAAATAATCTATTTTGGGTAGCAGTACCAACATAAAGTATACATGTACAATTCACCACGTTGCTTTTTTATTGTTTGAACGTTTCCTAATCTCAGATTACTAATTTTACTAATCGGTTCCGCTTAATTAGTTACACTACATTTGATTCCAACGTCGTTGGATATTTTTGGTCCTCCACGTTTCTCTTGCCCTTTATAGATTTCTTCTAACGACTTTTGTAGTTAGAATTTATGCAACGGTTCATTTCTTCTGTCAGTTACTTTTTCTGACACGTCACTTCTTTCTCATATAGATGAAAAGAAAAATGGTATAGACTGGTAAACTATGAAACATTCATATGTTTTTATTTTTTGCTGAACTAATTAATATATAGTTATCCTTAAACGTAGAACTGTCTGTCTTTTTGTATTTCTACAAAATAAAATTATATCCTGCATGTTGAATAATTTCTGCTTTATTACAACATTGATACTATAATATTGTTGTCACCGATGTTGTCCTTGAATTACCATGTTAAGTTTCTTCCTTAATATCCAACTTATATTCATTTGAGTGTTGTGACACGTCGTATACGTACCAATTGATGTTTTATTTATGGTTACGACAGCTATAATTTGTCAATAGTAATGTCAATACAATCCAATACACAACAGCTGGTAGCAACAATACCGTATACATAAAGTTATAATGCATGTCATCAGGTGCTATATTTAGATTTCTAAAATTCCCCAAAGTTTTCCTATACGATCTTGATACATTTCTTATAATCTATTTTAGGTCAAGTAAGGATTAAGTGTAATTCTAATCCTTCGTAGTCTTACTATGCATGTATAAATATTTTCATTCTTCTTCTTCCTTATAACATGTCATGTATTAATTAATATGAATGAAATAACATGTGGGATATACGTCTGTGGCGCAGCAACCCAACAACACAAACTGGAGGTCAACAAACGGTCTTCAAAATATACAGGTGTCTCTTTACAATGTAAAATGTGAAGCTCTTAATCGCCTCTATTTTGGAAAAGAACAGCGAAAACATTTAAAGAAGATTACCATAAACTTTTTTGCACTAAGTATGCATTACTAAAGACGAAGATTAATCTGTAGAAAATTTCCCCTCCGTCTAAGCGTAGAGGGATACCGAGTCATTCTCTTAATTTACGGCATCATCGTGTAAACCTTGATAGACGGGGCTAACTTAAATAATTTGATATTATTTCAAATGCTCCGCAAGTAATTTTGATAGGTACATAGTGCTTCGATATTTGTGTCATGTCTGTCTGTATCCCGGTTGCATGAGTATTTGTTTGAAATTTACTTTTACGGCATGCAGTTATGAGCAAAGTAGTATGAAATTTCGTCCAAGAATACACTAAAAATATTCTTTTATCAACTATTTTTTTTATAGAATTGGCGATTCAATTTCAAATGTTAAAAAAGCCTGATTTTGATAAGTGGATAGGCTAGCAACGCAGAACTTAAAATATACAAAAATGTTTCAAGACATACATGTCAAAAGACATGACCTACATTCTGTTGTTCAATTTAACACATCAAATTGTGGGCCTACGAATGATGTGTTAAAGAATAATGTGACCTACATTTCACGGTTAAGTGGTCTTTTTAACATTAATTTGTTTAAGGATGTACTTAGGTGAAATTAAAAAAATCTAGAATATAAAATTGATACTATAAGTCAGAAGAGCATTATTTAAGGAACAAAATAAGCTAGAAATATTGATAGGTTATGGAGCTCCTTTTCGAGATATTTAGTTTTTTTTAAAATGGCGGAAATAGGCTGACTCGGACTTACATTATATTTGCATTGGTATTATTTGGGTCTCAAATCAAAAGAAAAGAATCTAGAATCTGCTTGAATTTTGGTAATTGACCTTTATGAGCTTTTGAAGTCTTATATGAAAAGAAAAATTGGTGTTATGGGGCAAAATGTTTTACCCTGTATCGTAGGAAAAAAACCAAGGAGTCCGAACATCTGACAAAAATTCCTGAACCTAACCTAAGTACATCTTTAAAGTTAAGGTAAAAGGTACTCCTATAGCTTTATGTGCGTAGGATATTAATATGCAATTTTTTCCAGGAATATATCAGTATCAGTATGGCATGAAATAACTTGAATTTCATGATTTAGTCATCACTTTTGAATAACTGGTTCAAGTTAAAGTTAAAAATACAAAACATGTTATAGTCCATAAAGGCACGCATATGAAAAATACACATGAATATGTACACCATGATGTTATGAATGTATTTGGATATCATACATTTATTATGCTTTATCCTAATAAAAAAAATTATAAATTCGTGAACGACATCCCTTTTGACTTATCTGAAAACTATCATTTTACAGTTTCCATAATATCATAGTGTAAATTAGATACATTTATACACCATCAAGCTAACGCCCTCGGGGGTATATATAATACGTGTAAAAATAAAACGACTTACTTTCGTGTTTCAATGGTTATGATTTAACTTTTAGTAACAGTTTATGTTAAGGTGTTCTAGCGTGAAGTTCAAGTATGAGTTGTTGACTTGAGACCTTAAAAAATAATCACTGAGTAAACTATAGGTCAAAAGGATGGTGTGAATAATATTCCGTTGTTCATCAGATTTCAGGCTTAAAGTGGTTTCTTGTGATGTCATATGCCATCAAATCGAAATGTATTCATCATTGTATGAATACTTCTTGATGTGAATTAATAAGAGTCATGGACGTCCGGTCAGAATGGGGACGTTAAATCCGATGCCCCGTGTGGAGAGAGTGCCACGCTCTCTGCACGTTAAGAACCCTTGTAACAACTCTTTGAGGGGTCCGTAGTTGGCCTGTTGCAAGGCAAAATTTCTTACCCTATCCAATTTACCCTCATTTTCCAGTGGCAGTCTAAATTTCCCCTACCTTCATCCCGGACGGCCTCTATTAAAGGACCTACCTATTGTATTTTTTGTTAATTTGTTCTTGTCCTGAACATGTATGAAATATTTGCTACTAGACGTTAAGCAACCAACAATCAATCAATCAATATGATTTCTGACAATACTCAGAAAGCTGCCACAAAAAGTCTTATTCACAACCTTGGTACCTTCGCTTCAAATTTATACCAAACTGATAAAGAGGTTAAACTTCTAGGTCATTTCTATAATTGGTAATTGGTTATGCTACTTTTTGATATCTGTTTCGGATTTATAAAATACTTTATAAAGTAGTAATACTATACAGATTTAACTTCCCATCGCTTCTAAGAAACCTTGGTTCACGGATTCGATACCAAACCGGGGCTACCTGTGACTAAATTTGTTTTTGCTTCCTTCTACTTCTCCGCTTATAGTGCAAAGAGGATGTTAACAACTGTTCATATACGTTTTTATTTCAGGGTTTTTCTAATTCGATATTTCATATACAGTATCAATTTCTTTTTAAGTGTTTCAAACTTTATGTCATTTTTTAAAGTTTTATATGAAATTATTTTTTAAGAAGTCTTTCAGTATAAAATCATTAGATATGACACATTGCATTAACAATTTTCTGATTGAATTACACCATGTGCGTTGTTTGATATCTTTGTAACAAATTGAAAAAAACAAATACTCTGTTCGCAATTAAACCTTTATCAAGATTTTTTCTCAATATTTTATCTGCACGTGATCACAAATATATGTTCACCTAAATTTTGAGGTAAACTATTGACAAAACTATTAGCCGTGTAACACAAGTATTTGATTTCTAAAAAAAACTCAGGTAAAAGTACTTGAAATGTAAATAAAGTACACGTTTCTCTTACAATGTCTTTCCGGTATTACCTTTAAAATGGAACTTATCTTCAGATAAGAGTTGCGTCGCTCAATTTCGTTCAAGGTTGGAATATTCCGAAGTCCATAATTCTCTGGATTGGTTCTTTGAACGTACCATCATGGACAAGGATGATAATATCATCAACGAAGTTATTAAATGATTTTATGCCTAAGAGGGTTAATCGTTTTCATCAATCTGTTGCAAATGGGACTGATCATGTGACTGATATCGTCTGCTTTATGCACGCGAGCTTATTGTCATATTTCAATAGAAAATGATATTAAAGTAGCTGGAACGTAGTGACACTGACCGTTTGTTGTCAGCTTCATCAATAATTTCAAAATGAGGAGGGATATCTGCTTTGGGGCTAAGACAAAAACAGAAAATAAATCAACCAAGGTTTGTGCTTATTTTAATTCTTTAGTCAAGAATTTCTCAAAATTGTTGCTTTTTCAAGCATTCATTGAATATAGCAACGTTGTTTTATTTGTAAAACCACGATAATAATCGTCAATAAATACGAGAAGAAAATTACAAATGTTGTTCATATACCTTTCGACAGCTGTTTAGTTTTCATTTAGAATTATATATAATAAAGCATTACTTGGAAACGATTTTCTGTCATATATTATTCGCTTATGAAGCTGGTAAGATACTTCAACTTTCGTTTTCATTTTCAAAGTTGGTCAGTTATTCGACTTTCGGTATGCAATTACGCGAAAACAACGTTTTTGTCTGTCTCGTCGATCATATCAGTTAAAAAGATTTTCGTGATCCTTTAAATTCTCATCTTTTGTATTTGAAACCTCGGTTATCTACAGTCAAAATCATCCTTGAATGAGACGACTCTTTCAAGTGCAACTGTCTGCGTATGGTAACTTTGTTATGCTTGACCTTCGTTCATCTTTCTATATCTAAAGTTGTACTTAGTTATCAGGTGATAGTTTAAAATTTGACCTATAATAATCTGTGTTTAATAAGCACGACTGGACCATTCATTATATTGGTTTTTTTTTGTGAGAATTTTTTAGCAAAATAATTATTTCTTTAAACAGTTTCTGTCTAATGGTTGTGGATTTTCCGTTGCATTTTCACTTTATATTTTTTGTAGAAAATCATTTCGAAGAGTCTATATATAATTCCATTTCATAGAATTACTACAAATTCCTTCCTTTATTTCATTTTCCTTCCTTTGTTAAATACAACTGTCGATCATTTCTAAAAATAACAAACTATTAATACAAATACTTATATATATCTGGGACTATTATACTGAATAAATATTATGTGCCAGTATATATCTAGTATCTAGTTAACCTCTTGAAACAGTACATGTACTAGCTACCGGTAATGCTGAATTGCAATGATAAAAATGTCCGTTCGATGTAAGCGTTTACTTATGAGATATTTGATCATTTTCACAAAAGTAACTTAAGTTAATAAAATGAGAAATTATAGAGTTGAGGCAAAGTTGTATAATTGTACTATAATTTCTCAGACTGACATCCAAACCACGACACACAGGCCTTGAAAATGATTCACGATGTTACTAATAAAACTTTAACTTGGGACTTCCGTTCGACATTCATCATCCAACAACGGACGCAATTACAAAAACTTGATACCTAAACTTTTAACATTGTAAGACGAGCCAGATATAATCACGTCGTTACTCAACCTAAAAATGTTTCTAAATTTGAATTAAATAATACTAAAAATCTTTGTTGTGGTTTTCTGCACTATTTAGTTATTTCAATGAAGATTTGGTTGATTTAGTGCATGGAAAGAATTTGTATAAAGAAGTACACGACATAGTATAAATATTACTGAGGTTTGCATATTATTTACCATGACACTATATTGAAGAAGTTAATAATTTGATCTTTAAAAAGTAAAAAAAAAAAAAAAAAAAAAAAGTCCAAGGAAAATTCAAATCGGAAAATCTCTTATCAAATGGCAAAATCAAAAACCCAAACACATCAAACGAATGGAAAACAACTGTCCTATTCCTGACTTGGTACAGGCATTTCCTTATGTAGAAAATGGTGGATTAAACCTGGTTTTATAGCTAGCGAAACCTCTCACTTGTATGACAGTCGCATAAAATTCCATTATATTGACAACAATGTGTGAAGAAAATAATTTAGTTTCACTGTTACTAGCCTTACTATATCAGTTATACATTCGTATGTGTAACTTTTTTGACGTTTTAACATTTTCCTTATAGTTTTGAAATTTCTTTAAGACGTTATCTTGCTTTTAAATAGTAAAGAGTAATCTAGTACCCACCTTTGTATTCTATTTTTTAAGGGAGCGGGGGTAAACCTCAATGAAACAAAGTCCCAACAGTACAAAAAAGACACTTTCAGCTTTATTATGTAATGGTTGAAAACAATATTGATCATTTGTTGTTCATTATTACTGTTATATTTTCTCTTCATCCGATTCACAGGGCTGCATGTCTTTTTAATATAGTTTATTTTTACCCTTCGTTCCAGCTAATTTCATATAGAAAATTCAATTTGGTGTCTGATGCTGTAATAAATGTTTGTCTCGAAGTTGTTATATCCATAGCTTTAATATAAAGCATTGGAAATAATGGGAAATTATCACGATCTTCATATTAATTCAGTTCGTTGTTTTCTCTTTGATGTTCTTTCAGTAACGGATTAGCGACGTATCTGTCTGCGAGTGATCGTCCTCGGTTGAGGTAGATCAGTGTATTGTGTCTGTTTATTGCTCTTTCAGCTGTAAACTAAGACACAAAATTCAATCATCTGTTATGGCTTATTTCTATTTTTCATTCTTGTTCTTTATTCCCTTTCAGTTTCTACTTAAACATGATATTTAATCTATCCTTGTTCAGCTTTTAGCGAAGTCAGTATTTAATAAAGACATCAGAATTAGTTCACTGGTGCGTTCCGAACATCATTATTCTGCTGTAAACCTTTGATCTGTTTTTAATCATTATGCCTCAGATATTCAGGTCAATTAATTAAAGAATATAACAATGAAAGATGTTTTTGATGACTGCTGGGTTGGTTTTTATAGCAAACGGAGTACGATGATAAAATAGATGTGTCAACTGTCATCACTTATTGATATATTTAGTATAGGCATGCGATGTAATTGCTGATAGGACTGAAGTCTATATAGTCGGTGACAGTGTTGAAATGAAGTACTAAGCCTCTAGCTTTCAGACAACTCGGGATTTTACTCATTAAAACTAGGCACGAAGTATTAATTATATCACATATGAAATTCATCTCTAATAAATCCCATATTTGCTGCCGATCGATTTGTATGTCATTTATAAACGTACAAGATGTGCTTTTTCATTATTCTTTACATACTAGATATGCAATTTTGTTGCATAAAAGAGTCAAAACTGAATACACGTTTGAAATAAATTTCTAAACCGACAGTTAGTCAATCAAATGATTGTTCCCATAAACCGGAAAGATGTTCCCATAAATAAGAAAGTATTATTTCAAGTAAAAATTTGCATATCGTTCCTTTCTTTTTGTTTTATTTGAAAACATTTAATTAGGCCTATATGTGCAGAAGAAATGCTGTTTTCAGTAACTACTTTTGTTACATACATTTCTTCGTTGGTATCTATAATCCAATTAGTTTCCCGCTTTGTGAAGAAAATGCTGTTACTTAAAAAAATTGTCGGTTTAAGACCACAGAACGCAACATTTTCTTTATAATATAATATTGAGTAATAGTTTAGATAATTTGAAGCATTACTTGATATCTTGATCGTATAAAAAGCCTGAAAATACTACAATTCAATGCAACAGTTAATTGTTCATATTATATTCTATATTGAAAAGTGTCACTGCATTTCAAATTTGAAATTGTATTGTACAAGATTGCAGATTGATAGTGATATCGTTTTGCTTATAATGTAAGTGTTAAAATACATTAAGATTTTAGCTATGATAACAGTTTTAAATGTTTATGTTGCCCAATCTTTGGTTTTTCGTGACGTGTCTTATGTCTGATTTTATTTAAAGTTGTATAGTTATTTGGAGGATTTGACGTTGATTGCAGTTCGTTGATAGTTTTTTATTAAATTTCTTGACAACCTTTAAAGCTCGGGATGATTTAGAGCTTCCCATATTATAGCCACCTGTCTTTTGTTGAAGATTGTATGTTGACCTCAAGATGTCTGTATGTCATTTGTATCGCTTAGTTGCTGTCTCAATGACGTATACAACCGCACATATCCAAGGATCTGGATGGGGGGTCCTCCCTTTTTGTATTCTTTAATCTTTTTGGCCATTTTCTCTATTCTTTATACATTTTGCCAATTATTCTATATTCTTTATATTATAGCACCTCATTATTCTCTTTTCTTTATTTTTTCCCCATTTTTCTCTATTCTTTAAATGTTTCCCTCGTTATTCTCTATTCTGTAAACCCCCATCCACACCCTCATATCCTTTTATTCGTGGTAATGGAGAGTTGGTAGATTTGATTTGACCTCTGATGGATAGTTGTCGCGCGCATTTGCAATCATACCACATCTCCTCACTTTTATCAAATAAAAGAGTATGACTGTCTTGTCATGTTTTTCCATGGAATTTTTAAACGCTTATAATTTAACACTACAATTTTAATCAAGTTCCCAATGAAAGTTGTTCTTTGCTTCCGTATATCTGTGTGTTGCTTTCAGACCAACAAGCTTGATTGGTCATAAAGAATATCATCGATTTAATAAACAAGTCTGTCAACATGATTATTTTGATGTATTCTTTGATTAAAAAAGATCAAATACGAGACATTTCAAACTAAATCTTAATACAAATATGGAAAATTGATCACTGAATAGAGTATTCCAAGCCTAATGACCCATCGCAAATCGTCTTAAATATTTTTTAAAAGGCGTACAATCCGGAAGATTTATTTAACCATTTTAAAACGCTATCCACATATTATTGTTATGTGATGGACTGTGTATAGATGTTTTTTTGTTTTATCTGAACTGTTCTTGATGGACCTATCCTGAAATGCTGTGTTGCATTCTGGATACGTCCCTGTTTCAAATGTCATTTCTGCCCTTCAACTTTGTTGTTTGATTTGGCTTTGCAATAGTTTTGATTCGAGCGCCACTGATGAGTCTTATGTAGACGAAACGCGAATATGGC